ACATGGACGACAAATCTTTCTCTGATTGTTTCATTTTTGTATGTGATTGTCATTTTTCTGCCCCCCCCCCTCCGACCCCACTCCCTTATTATTTATAATAATAACAATAACAACCAAATAAGTAATCAATTTCTTCTTTCTGCGTTCTAATAAGTCGTGTTGTCTTTTACTTTAAAAAAAAAGAAACATACAAAATTGTTCATAAGGTTTTTGTTATTGTTGTCGTTGTCGTCATATTTGTAGTTTACTTTTTTCTCAAATCAATTAATGTCAATATATTCTTCTAATTTGAGTCCTCCACTCAATCATGTGTTTATATATCACACCGTACTGTCATACCAGTTGAGTGTAGTATATCTACTTTTCCATGCATTAGGGGTAGTAGTATTGTGTGGTGTGTGCTACTGACAAGATTTATCAGTAGTATGTTAAGAGACGTTCATTGGCGGAGAGATAGATTTGACGTCAAAAAGAGGAAATGTAAAGCCGGTACTGTGGCGAAACATGGGAGACACGGGGAAAAGACAAAAAAACAACACAATACGAAGTCTTTACGAGTTGATCACGGATTGATATCAGTTAGAGAACCATTGAAAACCAGAACTGGAGTACTGGACAGCCAGCTGTTTCACCTGCCCAGTTTGGGAATCATCGCCAGTACGCACCCACCACCACCAGGGTTCGAATCCAGGAACTTCCGGTTACAAGGCAAGTTGGCTTGTATACCATTCAGCCAGTGGGACCTGACTCGATTCAATGGTCAGTCAATGAATTCTAACTTCTAACAATTCGTGATTTAGTGCTACCCCAACCATTGTCGTTGGTGGGACATCCATCCTCACACGTGACATCTAATTGGACCTCACTGATCACGACTTCTCACTAGAACTCCAGGAAACTCCATCCTGTAGCAAGTCACTAGCGAGCATCAGATTAATTTTCTATAGTTTGGTTTGTAAGGGTTAGTTGTGGTTTTACGAGTACTGTCGATGATTCCCAAACTAGGATGAAACAGCAGCTGTCCAGTACTCCACTTCTGGTTTTCAATGGTTCTCTAACTGATATCAGTTCCTGATCAACTCGTAAAAACACCACTAACCCTTACAAACCAAACTATAGACAATACGGAGTAGCTGAAGTAGCACAACAACACGGAAGATCTGTGCAAATGACGATTTTATAGTAGATGCTATATACATAATTTCCCTATATGTGTACATCGAATTGCCAATAAATATTGCGTTGCCAAACACTGTTGCGTTCTGCTGTTGCATTCGATGTCTCTACCTCAAAACAAATGAAGATCCCATGGTTTGAAGCTTTTTGAAAGAAGGAGGCATACGGAGCTTCTTGCGCGTGACTTTGAGGTCGTTGCGGAAAACTTGGAGTGGACTGGTGGACAGGTCAACTGAAACTTGTTGGTGGAAAGGTTAGTGGTGGACTTCAACAGTCCGACAGACAAGCAGCTGGCAATGCAGCAGTTCTGTGCCACGAAGCCAAAACCTGATGGAGACCACCCATCAGTGTTGACGCTGAAACTGATGAATCTACTTCGTTGTGCACTCCTTACATTGGATGAAGAGTGAAAGTTGCAGTTATTGACTTTTCATTTCATCAAGAGTGTTTCAGACCACATTTCTCAGCAACTACAATTTGCTAGAGATAGGGTGTACCTTTGTAAATAGGTCACGCCTGCTAATAGTTCATTAGTTCGGCACGTGGCGTTATAAGGGCAACATGTCAGATAAATCTGAGCTTTTTCAATTATTATTATTATAATACGATAATTCCTTCACAACCTTTCATTTCCTCTTCACATGATCTCCATTGCCCAACTTGTGAAGGTTTCTATTTCACTTACACCCGACACCCTGGCGTGTAGTGTCACTCAACGATCTGCTCAGCATATGTCCAAATTCTGACCAGCCATCTGATCCTCAGTACATGAAGCGAAGATAGCTGTTGATGAAGCGGTCACTAGGTGTCTAAATCATATAGAATCACTAACTTGACATTGATGTTAAAAATTGGCATCCTCTTCCTTATGCTGAGGTCTCCACCCGGATTTCAGAGTAATGAACACCTGTCTTGCTCTTCTGATCATCATTTGTGTGGCCAGCTGTTGAGTGGGTGCCATCTAAGCAGGTGAATCTACTGTGACCTTCCAGTGTTACGTAGAGATCTCGTTTTGGAAAAACAAACACTCAAGAAATGAAGGTAACATGTATTGTGGTGAATATGAAGAAAATCGATGTCGAATGCTTCTGAGAAAAAAAGAAGAGTATCCTGGTCCATTCCCTATCTTTAAGAATGACTATAATCTGCATCAGTGATACAATTGACAGTGAACTGGAAACATTTTTTATTTGTCCTTATTTATCGATTTATCGATAAAAAACATGAAAGTAAAACAGCTGTCTGAAAGAATCCATACCGTGCTGGAGAAATTGCTTGATATCAATGTTGAAATTGAAGGGATACGGTGAATGAGAATCTGAGGAGAAACATTTTATCAGCTGTAATCTATAGGTCAACTTCTTTAGTTGGCATATGATAGGCCGTTGTATGAAGGAAGGAAGAACTGTTGCTTTTTGTGTATTTATAAATTCATTTCGTCTTGTGGCGCTAGTCATATTGGCTGCACAAAGAGCACATTTTCCAAATGCATCTCAGGACAAGTCAATTAGTGATTCAACTCTCGAGCAGCACTTGATGAACTGAGTCTACTCTGCGGAAGCCTCTTAAAATTATCTACAACATATAAGGTCAAAAAGTACAAGAGGTGTTAGGTTTCAGCGTTTGGATGTGTCTGAAGTGTTAGCGATTCATCAATACAAGGTTTGTTCAGCCTCTTATTCTATCATGATCTTCAACTCCTTCCAACTTGCTTGTCTGCCTCTATTTTTAGCAAAGTGAATTCACTGTCAGTTCTCTTACATTTCCCGTTTTGTACATTTAACTAATCAGTTTCTATTTTTGTTCTCGCTTTCTTCACCCGCATCAGATGGCCTCTCAATCAACTTGCTTCTCATCTAATAACAATTGTTACCTTATTAGACTCTACCTTGTCGTTTCCATTGTACTGTCGGTTATTATATTATCTCTTCTTAACTTTAGAAATCGTTTCTGAGTATCTGTATCAATTATGTGGTTGGCATAGCGGTTAGGACGCTCGCCGACCATGCACATGGTCCGGGGTTCGATCCCCGGCCACTGGACGCACTCCTTTACTTCACTAAGCCAGAAATAATGCTAGTGAAGAGGAAAGGTTGGGCATGAGGCGCTAGCAACCCTATCCTGTAAAATAAACACTGCTACAGAACCTTCAAGCCACTAGCTTGAAGCCCTATGTTCCACTGGGGAACGTGACGGAAAAAAATGTCACACACGCGTACACACACCACAATGTTACTCACTAATGAACTACTACTATACAGTCTGTACAACCGTAGAAGGTGACTTCCTTGATCTCTGAAGAAGAGTTTTCTTCTCTGGATTGTCGTCTTTTACTTCTTTATCATTGCTTTTTTTTCAATTACAACTTGCGCATAATGGAACTAGCACACGCATATGAGCGCATCGTAACAGCGCCAAGTTTGTAGTCAGTTACACATAGTAGGAGGTGAAATGTATTTATAAACATTATACGTGTAAATTCACTAACTTAGCCATGGATAATACAAGATGAGATTAAAAGGGATTGCAAACTTAATCCTATGCCACACTGGTCGTAAACAGTCTTACATCAAAAAGTAAGGGTGAAATGGCATCGTACCTGCCTCCCCCTGTTTCCCTCTCTCCCTTACATATCATTCCAATTCGTGATGAAATTCACTTTGAAAAAAAGAAACAGCTAAGGATTAATCGAATAATTCTAATTGTTTGTTTTGGTTTTTTCTCTCTCTCAGTTTTAACTTCACATTGTGTTTTTTTTTGCATTGACCTTAACTTGTCATCTTATCGATTTTACAATTGTGTTTTGGTGGATAGAGTTGTTATTATCCGGATAAATATGCGTTTGCGTGCTTGCTTGCGTGCGCACGCGCGCGCGTGTATGGGTGTCTGTATATAAATGGAACTGGAATTTTTTTTCATAATCCTGCCCTCATGATGAATAATACAAAATGTATATAGCATTGCATACCTGATTTATTCTGGCTGACAGAGTATCATCGACTTAGGAATTTGCACAGACGTGTGGCAGTGTTCAGGTTGGCACACTCCATGTAGAAATAGTAGTAGTAGTAGCACACAAAGGCAGAGGAATGGAAAAAAAATATCAAAAGAACCAATAATGGGTAGAAATGTCCGGGAGAAGGAATAATAATAACATGGAAAAACATTGGGGGGGGGGGTTAATGGATCCAGGAGACTGCAAAGAGTGAATGCATCTGCGCCAGCTATTGAGAACTATTTCGATCCATATCAGTAATAACAGTCTTCAGCCATGGGTTCTTAGCATCTTAAGGCCCTCAACCAAACAGTGTACCTCTCTCCCTAAGTGACTCAAAACAACTGTCAGAAGAGACTTCAGGGATCAATGACAGTTGTTTTAGTATGAATACCCCTAACTCTTTTGCTGACGTGGTCCCATGTCAGCTAACATTGCCGATTGTCGAGGAAGGCAGGTAGCTCGGCATGCATAACACGTGCCCTAGCCATTTCAATCGAATTATAGGTTCACAGCCTCATCGATTTACTTACTCTCCCTACCTTACACTGAGTACTACTCACCACATATTATGCCATTTAACAAAAGAAGTAGGACGTGAACATCTGTCGTGTCAACCACGTCTACCAGTCAATAATAAAGGAGAGTAAAGCAAACTGATGAGCAGTATCCATGTCCTTTGATCGATAGTCGGATATTCATTACATCTACTCCATAAATGATGTAATTTGGCAAATACCACATGGGTCCTTTGATTTATTCTCTTTCCACGCTATATTTTTATCCCATATTTCATTTGTTCTTCTTCCTCTTGTTTTTCTTCTTCTAGGCAACAACAGTCCAATTGACCTTGCCAGTCTACTGACAAAATCTCTACAAAATCATGATGTTAGCATACCGAATCATCAAGATCAATCTATTGCTATCAATAATCATCATCCAGTTACATCATCATCTATTTGTTCTCATTCTCCATTATTTATCGGCAGTAGTGCTGTACATGGCGGTGTTGTTCAACATCATCATCATCACCATCACCAGCATTCTCATCTCCCCCCGTCGTATCGTTTGAATGATGATACGCCTACTCTGTGTTCATCAGCATCATTGACGGCGACATCAACAACAACATCTGGATATGATTTAATCGACAATATGTCGGATACAAATTATTTCCTTCATGATAATGTACAAGTGGCTAAAGTTGCAGCCGGTTTAATTATCTCTAAAAAACCACCTTATTATTACAATAATAATACAAGTACTGCCAACAATAATGTTGTATGCGCTTATCCTACACGTACTACATGTTGTTTAACATCAATTTGTGCAACATCTTTTTGCAGTTCAATTACTGGTCATCGACAAGCACCACTTCTCCCTCCATCCTCTTCATCTCGTCCTCCTCTTCATCATCATCAACACCCCCACCCCCATCATCATCAACAACGTTTGATTTTTGAGAATAATCAATCATCATCATCATCAACTGGATGTAATACAACTGCAGTACTTCCATCAGTGCCTATACCATCTATTGGTACTGATATTAGTACGCATAGTGGTATACAGCATTCTTCATCTTTACATTCAAATGAATGTAATAGTAATAGTAGTAATAGTAATAGTCGATTACAGTTCAGACAACCATCACGGGAACAACAACAAAATCATCACCAAATCAGTTCATCAAATCCTAATTCAACTAGTCAGTTATCTGATTCATTGTATACTTCAAGTTCAGATTATTCAAATTATGGTGGTCTTGTTAATTCATTAACTGAATCAACATTGGATCAAGTTGACAGTCAGAGAGACTCTGGTGTTACTTCTCAACCTACTACTACGGCTGCTGCTGTTGCTCCTAGCAGCAGCAACAACAGTACTGTTAATCCGGAAGTATTTACAACCGATGAAGATTACTGGGATTTACGTACTACTAGTAGTAGTGGCAGTAATCAGTGGAAATCTCAATTATATTCATCTAAAACAAGCCTCACTGGTGTTGATGGCGATTGTGCTGTAGCGAAAAAATTGAATTATTATTCATCTGTAATAAGTAAGTTACTGTGTTTTTTGACCCTACTGCTTTTTTTATTCCTTACGTTCCGAGTGGAACATAGGCCTTTTATTTTCAAGAGTTGGTTTGTAAGGATTAAATTTGTTTCTACAAGTTTGACCATGGATTGATATCAGTTAGAGAACCATTGAAAACCAGAAGTGGAGTACTGGACAGCCAGTTGTTTCATCTGTCTAGTTTGGGAATCATCGCCAGTACGCACCCACCACCAGGGTTCGAATCCAGGACCTTCCGGTTACACGGCAAGCCAGTGGGACCCGACCCGATTCAATGATCAGTCCATGAATTCTAACTCCTACCAATTTAGCGTGATTTTGCGTGACTGGCGCCAAGCAATGTCATCGGTGGGACATCCATCCTCACACTTGACTGGATGAACCTCACTGGTCATGACTTCTCACTAGAACTCTAGGAAACTACATCCTGTAGCAAGTCACTAGTGAGCATCAGATTAAATTTCTACAGTTGGTTTGTAAGGATTAGTTTTTTGTTTTTACGAGTTGATAACGGATTGATATCAGTTATTATGACCTTTTGTGTTTTGTGATAACTGCAAATGCAATGTGAAGTTGTATCATAGTTCCTTAGATACTTTGTTGGAATTTATGATGGTTAATGTATTTTTAACCTAGGTGATTGTACTGTCCCCTAAAACTTACGCATCGTATATGTAACTGTATAATTTGCCAATTTCTGTATGAAAAAGGGTATACATACTCATTTTGGTTATTACGTTATCTGAGGTAACTCATTCCATTATCAAGCATTCATCATAGCCATCACCGGTGACTTTTTTATGTCATGAAATGTGTACATTCTCTCCGAAAAAAATATATATAACCTGTGGTTCAGCGGTAGAACGCTCGCCAACCACTCACTTGGTCTGGGGTTCAATCCCCATCCGATGCACTCCTGTAGTAAGAGAACTGTCTGCTAGGCGAAATTGGTAGACAGCAATTTACGTCAATGTTTATGTCCCATATCTTGGTCATGAGAAAAGAACAAGAACAAAGACCAAATCACAGTAGATTTTGCGTGGGCGGATACGATTCGCAGATATATGGCCTGACCTCCAAATAACTGGCCACAAAGAGATACTTATACTTATAGATGACAGATTAACTTTCAGCGAGAAAACAACCAATCAGAAGACGCTGTTTCTCTGCTAATAATAATGTACATTATATATATATATATATATATATATATATATATCTTGATTTCCTCGAAAAACGATCTGTTGCCTGACCCTTCTCTTTTGTCGTTGCTTGCGTAAATCTTGCTAAGCCGATAGGAAGGACGGTAAGGAGGGAAGATTGGGCGTGAGGCTAGCAAGCGCACCCCGTGAGGATAAAATCACTGCTACTGAAACTTCAAAGCTCTACCTTGAAGCCCTATGTTCCACTCGGAACGCAAAGGAATATATATATATACATGCGTAATAGCGTCGGTGGTTCAATGGTAGAATGCTCGGCTGCCACGCGGGCGGTCCGGGTTCGATTCCCAGCCGACGCACTCCGCCTTGCCTCCAAAGCCTCAGGATGGTCGGGGGTGGGTGCCTTGCGCTGCGGGTTGGCCACCCCTCCGCACACCTCTTGAAATGCTCCCATATGACCGGGCGTCTTACATAGCCTCTCCTGAGGAAGACCTACTCACTGCCTTCACACGGCGGAGGTGTTTTTCACCAAAGTGAGAGGGCGAAAGCGGATGCCCGGCGCTCTTCACCGGGTTGACTGTCCATTGGATGACAGTCTAGGGGAGATGACTAAACCGTGATTCCAAACCTCCAACGACTGGCGTATGAAGCTCACTGGAGCTCACCGGCAGACGTATGGAAAAAGGGCTTGTTGGATGTCCTGGATGTCTGGCCCCATTCAAAAAGGCGTATGAACCGAACTCCGGTCACCGGCTGCCAATGGATAGTGGACTCCCTACTCCACTCCTACTGCCTTGTAGGTCACACTTGGTTGTGTAAAGGCTAGAGCTGCACCCTCAAACAAAAGGCCGAGCGATTTTGGGGACATCACTCGTACCAAATTCCCATGAAACTTCATGAACTCTCTGATGTTCATGAAGCCGGCTCTTCCTCCCGTAGGAGATGGCCGAAATAAAGTAAAAAGTAAAGTATGCGTAATAGCCTATGTTGAGACAGGGTTCATTGACTTTAAACCAGCCAGTGGATCCTCCTCCACCTACTTGAACAGGAGCAACATCATGCGTCGCACAATAAGCTTGTCTCACATCGTGAAACATGAATGACCTGCCCCCGATATTGATTTCATTGTTTATCGTGCATTATATCTTTCTTACTATTATTATATAGATCTAGTAAAAATGGTACTTTTTTATGTTTATTTTTGTTCTCTTTCCCTATTCTTCTTCATCAATCAGCTGATCTGCCTGCAACTACTACACTGGGATCATCACATACTTGTAAAGAATTATTATCTAATGATACCCGTGAACGACAATATAAATTGGTGATGAATGTGAATACAACGCATAATCCTTATTCCTTTTATTACTCATCATCTATTGAACCAGGACAGTGTATTTATCGTCGTCGACTTCAACAATATCGTGTTTGTGTGTGTAAATCTTTACTGCGTAGATCATTTTCAGCCAATACAAATCTTCAGTTAATTGATATATCGAATAAGCTACAAAATGATGAATATCGTACAGACAGGATATTAAGAACGATGCGTTCGTTGGACAGTTGTTGTGTAGCTACTACTACTACTGCTGCTACATCAACGACGTCGACAACAGCAGCAACAACAACAACAAACGATGAACACAACTTGATTCAAAATATCTGCAACCAGTATTCTAGATGTTGTCGAACTACAGAATCATCCAACAGTAATTCGAATATTTCAATCAGTCCTCCGCCGCCACTGGCACCATTATTGTCTAGTGGCAAACTCCTTTGTGGTGGGGCAAGTGCAGGTGCAGGTCGTTTCCAGAGGATCCACAGGTAGGCTTCAACTTTTTTTCCAGTTGGTTTGTAATTTTTTTGATAACAGCTTGATGCCACACCGTATTTTCAGTACAAGTATGGAATTTTCAGCATGTGATATCGGTAGCCCAAATTTTCCAGACTGACCATAGATATCAGGTGTGCATCGGCAGGGGATCGAACCTCGGACCATGTGCATGGTTGGCGAGACTCCTAACCACTGTGCCGCCGACGCACGTCGGGAAGATAAATTTAATGATATACTTTCATTCAAAAGTTATAGTAAACCCTTTTATTACTTCTATAACTGTTCCTTGTAATAAAATTTACTGACTAACTGACTGCTTTGAACGTCGAGTTTTTCACAAATGTGCTGCAGTTTGAGAGTTGCCACACTACCTTCATGTAGCACACAAAGCAAAAGGAGAGAGTAAAGAGAGATTCAAAAGACAGATAATAAACAGAAATTTGCGGTAAAAGAATAATAATATGGAAGAACAACAGAATTCTTTTTGGATATGATAAATCACAAGGAGTGGATGCATTTGCGTCAGCTATTGAGAACGATTTTGAGCCATATCACCAATTGTCTCAAGCTTCCATTGGTTCTTACCATCCCGGGGACCCCAACCAGTCAGTCAGGAAGTCTACACCTCCGTCACACAGTGCCTATATAAAGAAGGCAGTTTTGTGGTAGCTATTCTTTTACCAATCCATGTAATACACATAAAAAACCCAAGGGTTCAGGCTCTCATTGACGGCGAAAAGTGTGTATGGCTTTCAGCCAACGTGTTACTTGTTCGAATCTCGCTTCACGTACTTCAGACTGGGAAATTAGGTTAATTTTTTGCTCTTAGCCTGTTAGGGGGTAATTTGTTCTCAAATGCGTTGGTATGCAGGCATCATCACGAGTTAACGTCTGTTAGAGGAAATCACGGAGTCCTAGCTCAGAATTCTTCGGAAGTAGTGTGCACTCACTGGGTTAGGGTCCAGGATGTTTCAGGTCGCAGGTGGGGCGGGTGGGAGCTCGTAGATCATACAGCTACTAGGATGCCCAATTCAGTTTGTTTTCAAACAAAAGTAACCAAAATTCAAACAAAATGTCGAGTTACTTCCAGTGTATTATTTCACTACTTTCCAGTTCCAGTTCCCATAGCTGGCTACCGGTTAACATCAACTCTCAAGCACTATAATGCTGCTGCTGGATTCAACATAGAACTTGGAACCGAAGTGCAGCAGTTCAAGTTGCCACGTTCCAAATACCACACAAAGGTAGACAGGAAAATTAGTGAAGAGAATCAATAGAATTTAGATAAGTATAAGAGTGAAACAGAATGAGTAATGGTAGAAAGGAATATGAAGGTTAAAGAGACTGAATACATCTGCGTAAGCCATTGACAACGATTTTGAGCCATGTCACCTATTGTCTCCAGCCATTGATTGATTCTTAGAGTCCCGAGGGCGGGCCCCAACCCGGAAGTCTGCATCTCCCTACCTGACTCAGTTTAACTGTCAGGGATTTCATGGATTGATGTCATGTTTTTGTTTGGCCACCACTTACTCTTTTCCAACCTGCACCTATATCAGCTAGTAGTGCCACTGTTCACGGTCCTTGCGGAGACTTTTCGTAAGTTTCCTTTTGTGCAGCTTTCGCTCCTCATTGAATTCGGAGCTCGCCGGAATAAATCTTCTGGCATCTATCAGTTCGGATGAGGCAGTCGAAATCCAATGGTTTTTACTCACCTTTGGATTTACCTTATTCACAGCTTTTACAGCTGTATCTATGGCTGATTGAATATTCTTCCAGGCTTCTTCAGGATGAGCGCAGCTGTCGAACTCAGATATGTGTTTAGTTAGTTCTTCCTCAAATAGGGACTTAGTGTCCTGATCGAGGTGGGGACCAAGCACTACAATATATACTTGTGGTCTTGTGTATAAAGTCTCTATCATCAGTAGTAGTGTTGTTTCAAACTTATGTTGACAGTTAACGATGGTGTATAACTACAATCATTTTCAATAATTGTTCCTGAATCTTTCTCTTCTAATCCTAGATTATTTCAACGTAAGCATTCTCAAAGTCATGATAGTCTTCAGAGTAGAAAAAATTCAATGGATGATAGACCAGTGATATTCTATGACTCAGAATACTGTATTACGACTGGTGGTGATGGTGATAAATCAAGCTTTGATAAACCTTTACACTCTGACATGCTGCCATGGGACGGAATCGATGAACTCAAACAAGAACAACAACAACAGCAACAAGAAAAACACCTCAATACCAGTCACACTGATAATAATAATGACAAAAGTGTTGAACTTTCTTGTCGAGTTCTTAACTGCCCTCGACATGGAATCAGAAGACTTCATTGGAGGAACATTGATCCTCAACAAATTCTTTTGTTAACTAATAGAAAAGCTGAAAATCTTTCTCAATTGAAAAAACTAATGAAATCCCGTGTCACTACTGCTACTGCTACATCAAATGATTTTGTTGTTCATCATGAAAAACATTCCACGCCTACAATTCTTCCGTCAAACTCTCCAAATACTGTTGTTGTCAATAATTGCACGACTGCAGCAGCAGCGGCGGCGGCGCACTACTCACCAGTAGTTTCTGGTCGTTGGAGAAATAGGCGTACTCATCATCATCATTATTTCACGAGGAAAATAGATTCGAAAGCTAAAGGTTTATACTTACATGAAAATAATAGTGATAGTGATCTGATCACATCACAAGCGGTAAGAACAAACAATTGTCCGGTAAGTTTGATGATTGATGATGGGTTTTGTTACTGGCTTCCTTTATATTATTCTTGATTGTTTGACAATAGAAAACGTCTCCTGTCAATGCAATTTTATATGGTTTTTTTCTTAGTTAGCGGTAATGTACGCATATATCCAGCTTATTCCTTTACGTTCCCAGTGGAACATAGGGCGCCTTCAAGCTAGAGCTTTGAAGTCTGTGTAGCAGTTAGTGGTGATTATTTTTATAGGATGGGGTTGCTGCTAGCCTCATGCCCAACCTTCTCTCTTTATCAGTCTTACTACTGGCTTAGCGAGGTAAAGGAGTGAGTCAGTGGCCGGAGATTGAACCCCGGACCACATGAGGCGGCGTAGTTGGCGAGCATTCTACCGCCACTGTGCCATCGACGCACGCACATTTCTGCGGTGGTTTTCTAAATCGGTAAGATAATGTTTGGTTCCCTCAAGCATTCGTAAATGAAATCATATGAACCTGCATTTCCAATGTGGAACTTTGGCACAAATGCTCAGCAGTTCAAGTTACTACACCAAGGTAGTGGAGAAATAAGAAAGAAATGCTAAGGTACTATGTATGATAAACGAAACTATGACAGGGATAGTGTAGATTTATAAAAGAATAATAAGGGCCTAATGCATCTGACACCTCAGGAGAAGTGTGAATACATTTTCGCCATTTAGATCAATTTTCAGTCATGTATGTCACTAACAGTTTGGAGCATTCAATGCTTAACGTCGTGAGGGGACCCTCGCTAGACAGTCTACATCTCTATACGTCGTTCAAACACAACAGTCAAAGACTTAATGGATGCAGTGAGATTCCATGTTGGTGGTTTTACTATCTATGATACCTTTCCAATCCGGTCCTAAGTCAGCTAACTTAGTTTGACAAGGAAGGGTAGTAGTTTGGCGTGCTTAATCAAAAATCTCATCGTTATACACGTTGTTAGCTCATGTTCCATATCGTATAACAATTTTTATATGTGTATAAATACACACTTACAAGGTTTGGGGGGGATGAGCATATGTCCAAATGGATTGGAGAATACGTTGAATTCTAAAATCTGGATTAACGCAAGAAATTGGCCACCAGCCTCATCTATAGTTAAGGATTCAAGTATTGGTATGAATCATAAAGTTGATCATAAGGCCACTACTTCCAGGATTCTACAGAAAAAAAAGTGACAAGAGTGCTCACTTTAAAATATGCTGTGGCAATAGGTATCTGTAAAATTTAACCGCCCCCCCATTGTGTGCGAAGCTGTAGCTCTCTGGTCTAGATAGATGCTTGGCTTCCAATTGCTGGGTGTCTGTTTCGAACCTCGCTTCATATCTGCCGGGATTCGGTCATCTAAGTGCTGTTTCAAGCCTTCACACAATAAATGTGGCTGATTGTTTTAGATACACGAGCTACCGTGCTAATCCTTATCCTGCGATTTTGCTACCCAGAATAGTCTACACTGAATTTTCGTCATTATCATGATGTTGGCTGGATTCATGTCACCATCTCCCAGCTAGATGAGACTAGTTAACACGTTACAGGGAACTTGTAAGACCCTCCTACATAGGGGTTTTGGGTTCGAAACCCTCCTCACTTACTCCAGCTTGGACAACTGTATACTATCGTAAGTTCTCATGCATCAAATGCGACTCTTGGTCTGTTTTTATTCCTTACATTCCGATTGGAACATAGGCCTTCTATTTTCAAGAGTTGGTTTGTAAGGATTAAATTTGTCTCTGTGAGTTTGACCACGGATTGATATCAGTTAGAGAGAACCATTGGAAACCAGAAGTGGAGTACTAGACATCCAGCTGTTTCATCTGCCTAGTTTGGAAATCATCGCCAGTACGCACCCACCACCAGGGTTCGAACCCAGGACCTTCCGGTTACAAGGCAATCTGGCTCGTATATCATTCAATGACCAGCACATGGATTATAACTTCTACCAATTCGTGATTTGGCGTGACTGGCACCAACCAATGTCATCGGTGGGAAATCCATCCTCACACTTACGAATTGGTAGAAGTTAGAATTCATGGACTGGCCAATGAATCGGGTCGGGTCCTGTTGGCTGTGAATGGTATACCATCCAGCTTGCCTTGTAATTGGAAGGTCCTGGGTTCGAACCCTGGTGGTGGGTGGGTGCGTACTGGTGATGATTCCCAAACTAGGCAGATGAAACAGCAACTGTCCAATACTCCAGTACTGGTTTTCACTGGTTCTCTAATAGGCCTCCTTCTATCTCTATTAGTTTCTGTAGTGGTAGTATTGTGTTTTTCACAGGGTCGAGTCGAAGTTTTAGCCTTATCCTCTACGTCTCCTCTCTCTCTCTCTCTAGTTTACTTCTGTCTAGTAAATTAGGTGATCTTTAGGCCAGGAACTGAACCCGGTGGCGCATAGTTCTTTGGCTGGCTGGTAGCGCATAAGAAAATCTGTCAGAGACACACTTATGTATGAACACACTTATTCAACCATTAATTTCCTCTACTTTAAGTTGTTATTCTTCTTCTTCTTCTTGTCTTCTTTGCCTTTTCAGCAGTCGTCTATCAGTAGCAGTGAAATGAAAACACATTCACTATCACCATTACGCAAGCATTCCTCGACATCTTCAGCAATCAATCAATCCAATGGTGGACATTATTATTATCATTATTATTATTATCATCATCATAATGCTGTATCATCACCAAGTGAAAGAAGCCAATCCTTGATATCGGTTAATTCATTACCATGCTCTGAACCATCTTTATCTAAAATCGATAATCACAATAGTAATATTATTATGCATTCATTACTACATATGAATTATACAGATTCAATGGAACAACTACTACTACTCCAACTGCCGCCTCCATCATCATCATCATCGATTCATAGGTATGATTCATCTGTGTTGTTATTAAAGCCTACCACTACTACTACTACTAATACTAGTACTACTACCAACCAACAAGTAGTAAATTCATCAGAGTTAATCAATACTACTGATGATGATAATGGTGGAGAAAGCGATAAAGTCTGTTCAAAATCATCTTGCTCAAATTGTACGATGATGCAGAAAACAGACTCTACCGATCGACAATTCGATATTCCAAAGTTTAATCGGTCTGTTAGTAGTAGTAGCAGTGTTAAGCCTTTCGCCTTGCCGTCGTCCACCGCCTCCTGCTCCTCCTCCGACACTACACTACGAGCTAGTACACTACCGACAACACGAATTCTACGTGATGAACAGTCAATTAACAGCCTACAACTCACTACTCCTTATAATCATCAACAACAACATGCCTATGTGAATTCAAGGATGAATGTTGTTGATAATCCAGAATCTACTCATTATCATCATCAAAAATCAAATCGATTACAATCATCTGTCAGTAATCTTGATCGTCTCTTGCCTGCACTACTACTTCAACGTACTTCTACTCGTCAAAATCCTATACCATCCAGTGTGCATGACAGTGCTGGTGTTGTTGTCGTTAGTGGTTCTGATAACTCTATGCCTCGAAAATTCTCCTATCAATCATCAGAAGTTGATTCATCTCCTCGAATTGTGATAAACAATAACAACAGTAATGCTAACACTGTTAGTAAGAAAGGAAGAAGAAGAAAATCAAACGAAGAAGTCAATGATAAAACAACAGCACTCCAAGTTGATGAGCAGTTGTCATTTGATATTGTAAGTTTACCACTGAGTATATTCTCTGTGTGTGCGTGTGTGTTTCCCACTTACACAGAGTGAGATTTTTCATTCTGATTTATCCAGTTGACCTTCGAAACACGGGATCTTAACTTTTATGACTCCTTTTATAAAAGGTAGCCTTGATTATGTTGCCTGTAATGATATTGATACGTTCACAGCTAAATCACTCACTTCACGAAATGATGAAACACTGTGGAGGTTGATGCATATACATATATTTAGCAGACAATCAGTTCAATGAGAAACTATTTACTTTTCAATTTGAATCCTCGTCAATGGTTCTATGACAATACAGGAAGTAAAATGTGTATTCACTGCTAGGGGAAGTTAGTATGTCGACAGTTTCAAAGACGCCATTATTTCTGAAACTGCATTTTTAAAAAAAAAGCAAACTCCTAAAGAACGCCGTGAGATGAGTATTCTTCGAAGCAGAGTTGCCTTGTCACTTCACAATCAAACCAATTTTACCTTCCAGAAATAAAGAGAAACAACCTATTGTCACCCCTCCACAATATTCATTTATCAGTTTAGGCATAATTCATCGTTGATTAAGCGAAGGAAACCACTGCAGATAGCGATCATAAAGTTGATGTCAATAAAGTGTATTTAGAGCTATCGATCGTGTTCCCACTATTCCTAATTTTGCTCTACACCAGTTCGTCCTCTGCATACAACAGAAGACAACACAATCTACCAGAAGAAGTTAAACTTGCGTGTTTAGGAGTATTTTGTACAGTCACTTTCTTTACCTCCCCCCCCCTCATACATGAAACACCATCTGTAATTCATTATTGTAGGAGTTGCCTGTAACCTGCATCTCCTTGCTTCTGACTGAATTTCCCGTTATAATACGTGAAAGAGCATGTGGATTAGTGTCTCGTGACTTCAGAGGCACACGGCTGGTTTGTAGTGGTCTTTTGAGTTGTATCTGTATCAGGATCTTACGGCCGGCCGACTGGTTACGGACAACCACAGGACAGGTCAGGATGTACAGTTTTTCAACCATCTTTCTTTCATAGCACAGAGGGGCAGCAAAGCTGGTTTTGCTGGTCATCTGAGGAAAACACCCTACTAGTGTTACAACATTCCCATTCATCAGAATGCCAACATAGCGTAAACGACTTGCACTAACTATGATGGTTACTACCATTTAAAAATCTTCGCTGACATGTTAGGACCTCTGTAGGAAAAATCATTTCAGCCAATGTAGCTTGTTTCTTGTCTGCAACATGGTAGTCTGATGACCAGGTCAAAGTAACATTTGTTCGTTAAGATCTCCGCACATTATGCTGCTAATAACTCTAATTCATTCAATATTATATGTAATTAGCTGCCTTATTTAAACATCACTCCGATATCTATAACGTATGCAATTGTATAATGTTGTTCCGAGTGACCTTGGTCGGGTCATCGTGTTTCACAAACTAACAGTAATTTTTCAAGTCAATATTTAGTGACACTGAGGTAGTGTATGATTTACTGAGTGTTAGTTAAATAGTTTTATCGATTTCTATATTTGCTGTTATTACTATCATTCTCAATCGTTTAGATTTTCCTCATGAACCCATCAATATCCGTCAGAAAAATCATTTGGAAAACAGAAAGATTGAGCGAAGAAATATTTATTTTTCAATTAGATCCTCATCTCTGACTCTACTCTAATCATTGAAAACCAGAGAGAACTAGACAGCTGTTTTGTCCTATTTTGCGACTCTACAGCAGTGCACACACACACATACAACTCCGCCAGGGATCGAACTCGGAACAAATCTCGTTGACCACTCTCTAATCTGTGTGAATATTAATCGCCAATTCACTTGTGAGACTACTTTATAGACTTCCTTAAGCTGTAGTCGGAAGTCGTAACCAATGGAAATGGTGGAGTGTTCACCATCTCAAGGTGAATGAAGTAAGTGGATATGTTCCATTGTGAAGGCATTATCGACTATATAGCGCAATATATCACAAGTGTTGATGAAGTTTAAAGTCGTCCGGGAGTTATTAGATTTCAGCCAAAGTGGTTGTTGAATGATCAATGAGCGTGATCTCGTGTAACGCGAAGGTTCCCGGTGTGTACTACTGTGTGTGTGGGCGGAACTGACGAGGATATCAAAGCAAGAATCGGAAAAGCAAGAGAAACTTTCACTACTCTCAGGTCGGTCGGTCGGTTTTCGGCATAGAACTTTGCACATATGTGCGGCAGTTCAAGTCGCCATACTCCCTCCATGTAGCACACAAAGCGAGAGAAGAAAATAGGAGAAATGCACAGTATAGACAGTAAACAGAGGTGTGAGATAAAGGGATAGTAATAACTCTCAAGTCTGTGTGAAGGTCAACAGCACTCTGCATCAAAAATAAGATCCGGATTTTCAACTCCAATGTGAAGTCAGTGCTACTATACGGATCAGAGACTTGCACTGCGCGTTATAAAGAGCATCTCAAACAAACTACAAACCTTCATTAACAGTTGTCTTCGCTCAATACTCAAGATCAGATGGCCGGTCAGACAAGATCAGCAATAGGGATCTCTGGGAGCGAACCAACCCAGCAGGAACCGATTGTGAAACAAATAGGCAGGAAGAAATGGAGATGGATTGGTCATACTCTGAGGAAACCATCAAGTGACATCACTAGACAAGCCATTGCTCGAATGGAACCCGGAAGGGAAGCGGCGAGTTGGTCGTCAGTGCAAGGGTGACTTGAAGGAGGTCATGTGAAGAGGAGATGAAAGCGTGTGGGTAGACTTGGAGCCAGGTGAAGACTCCAGCAGAGAACCGAACGCAATGGAGACGCACGGCTGAAGCCCTATGTTCCTCTAGGAATTAAAGGAAACAATAACATAATAATAATAATAATAATACTGTGTGTGTGGGGACAGTCCCAAACTAGTACGAAATAGACTATATCCAGTTTCTCCCTGGTTTTCAGTAATCTCTCCAACTGATGTGTGTGTGTTTGTGTGTTGGTTCATCATGACAAAATCTACCAATTGTAAAATGAGAAACTAATCTGATTATTACTATTATTATTGTTTTGTTAGAAAGTTAACTTTGAATTGTATACAATCATTCTTGTTTCACTATTTCCTCACCTTTGTTTTGTGTATGTCAAGTATTATTTATCTAGTATATGGCATCATGAGTTGTTGTCATTTGTGCTCTCTTTGTATGTATACTTGACAGTGAAATATTTGACGCTTACTGCTTATTTTTCTGCTTTCTCCTTTCACATTAGCATACTTATAATAATTTGATTCGACTACAAGAATATCCAAATGATGACAGTACCGCATTACACGGTTTAAAGTCTATTCCGACATCGTTATCTTCTTCTGGATATGATCCGACAACATCCCAATTTTTACACTTAACAATTCATGAAGAAAATGATACTAGTTGTCAAAGTCAACCATCCTCCTCCTCCCCCTGCTCCTCAGCATCATCATCATCAACGACTAGTTATGTCAATTTCCCTGGATTTTGGTCCAATATCCATTCGACTACAAGTTCATCTGGTATTGCTGTGGCTGCTTCGGCTTCTGCTTCTCCTTCTATTGTTGCTACTACATCATCAATGGAGAATCGTTTATATGCTAATTTAATCCCCAAGACAAATCAAAAATATACAAAACATTCTTATAATAATAATAATAACAGTAAAGGCACATTATTAAGTCAATTACCAATGAATAACGCTCACTGTGATACTATTACTACTAGTAACTGTGCTGGCCAATCATCATTGTACACTACTGGAGATAATATACTTCATTCAACAGATAGTCATTATTTGCCACAGACTACTACTACTACTATAAATCTACTGAGTAAATCGAATTCATCTGGTCCTCCTCCTACTACTACTATTATTTCATTAGGTGGTGGTGGTAATCTTATGCCATCTTCAACATCTCAGTGTTGTTGTTCACCAATGGGAGGAGTTCATCTACATCCAGCACAAGCACCACCACCCCCACTGCCATCAGTAGTAAATATGCCTACAGAAACGGATTATTCCTGTTTACCCGCTGAGGTAATATTTTGTTTTGTGTACTATTCTATTCTATTCCATTGTATAATTTTATGTTTTATGTATACAGTACTAAACAGATTTATATATTTTACGTTCCTATTGGAACCTACGGCTTCAAGCCAGAGAGGCTTGAAGTTTCGGTAGCACTAGTGTGTTTATTTTAACGGGATGGGGTTACTGCTAGCCTCATTCATGCCCAACCTTCCCTCGTTACCAGTCTTATTACTGGTTTGGCGAGGTAAAGCAGAAGTGCATCAGTGGCCCGAACCGCATGAGGCGTGGTTGGTGGACATTCTACCGCTGTTTCTCAAGAGTTGATATGTCGGTATTTGATTTGTTTCAGGTCCGACCACGGATTAATATCAGTTGCAGAACCATTGGAAATCAGTCCTGGAGTACTGGATAGCTGTTTCATTCTAGTTCGAGTCTCTTCACCAGGACCTCTCCCGCTTGTAAGGCGATCTTAGCCACTAGGCCCCGACCAGAATGACCCATAAGTTGCAACATCTACTGATATCAATCCATGACATTTATAGTCAAAAGGACTGCCCTGAGAGTGCATAGGTAGGTAGAGGTAGAGGTGCACTTGGCTTACAACCAATGTTGTCATGGTTCGAAGTCCACTCTGTTCCTACGATATTGGAAAAGAGTTATGAGTTATGCCGAACGGGAACCTGGCATCGATCTATACACTTTTTGACAGTTGGTTTAAGCCACGTGGGTGGTGGCAGGCTGCTCGGTCGGTTGGGGGGTTCCTTGGGATACTAAGAGCCAATGACTGACTAGCTAGAGGACTGTCCGTGATATGGCCCAAATTTGATTTTAAGGTGCTACCCCCAGTGTTCGCCTAAATATAGCTAGCCAGAAATCTGGTGGTTTGAAATTATTTGGCTCTCTCTGAGTTTGAATAAAATCTGGAGGAGGAGCACCACTGATGAGGATGATCTCGGTCCAGAACAAGCGAAACGACCGTGACCGATGCTTAGATCACTTCGACTTGGCTAGCAAACACTGTTAGTTGATTTGAGTGGTATACAACTTCCAATTTCAATCAATCAAGTCATACGTTTATGCTTGCTTTCTTGATTATTATTATTATTTATGGTATCAAGCAGGTCGCAAATATATTCAAGTGTCGGTTTGCATGGATTCGATTGGTTCCAGGATGTCATTATGAACTGAGATGGTTAGAGGGAGAGAGGACCATCGGAAAACCACCTGGGAGTACTGGATATCGGTTTATTCCACCCACTACCAGGTTTCGAACCCAGGACCTTCTGGTTACGAGGCGACCATTAAGCCACTTGGAACCGATCCAATGGCCAACACATGAATTCCAACTTCTGCCAATTCATGAAATGGCGCGACCACTAGCGAATTTCATCGTCGGTGAATATTTGTCCTCACACCCGATCTGCTGTAGTCCACTGGTCATGACTTCTCAATAGAACCTAGATTAGATAACTACCTACCTGAATAGAGTCAGTCACTATTGAGCATCAGATCGATATTCAATTGTTGGTTTGTAGGGATTTGATTAGTTTCAGGATTTTATCATGAACTGATATTGGTTAGAGAGGAGGACCTTTGGAAAACTTGGGGAGAGTCCTCTAACCGACGATATCACTTCATGATAAAATCATGAGATCACAAAGATATTGTGAGCTGAAATAGTCTCTCGGTTTCCAAAGGAAATTTCACCTCTTCGAAATGAGTGAATCGCGCAAATTGAGGATTTTAAATTTGAACTTCATGTCAACCGTCAGACATAGATAGTCAAAAGTCTCGTATTAGGAGTCGACATGTCAACAACAACATTCCTCCCTGATAGAATCAATCAATCAACAAGGGAAATTCAAAATGACTTTGAGAACAAAATAACAAGTAGTGTGCCTGTTGCACACAAGAAAGGGTGGCTCTTGTAACTCTGGTGTGGTCGTTGGTCGCTGAGTTCGAGTCTTAGTATGGAAACACACCCCAACACACTACTAATGATGATGGTACAGTTGTTGTTGTATATCCAGTTATAATTTGACAATCGCCAAAATTACCATCCTGGATTCCTCCATTGCTGTTTTGTGTAGCCCCCCACCTAGTAGATAAAGAGGAACCAATATTGTACCGATACTTTTTTTATTGAGATTGTTTAATCTATTATTATATTATTATTGTGTCCTTTGTGCATTGGTGGCATAGCGGTTAGGACGCTCGCCGACCATGCACACGGTCCGGGTTTCGATCCCCGGCCACAGACGCACTCCTTTACCTCACTAAGCCAGAAATAAGGCTGGTGAAGAGGGAAGGTTGGGCATGAGGCTAGCAACCTCATCCTGTAAAAATAAACACTGCTACAGAAACTTCAAGCCTCTAGCTTGAAGTCCTATGTTCCACTGGGGAACGTGAAGGAAATTTAAAAAAATTGTGTCCTTTAATTCCTAGAGGAACATAGGGTTTCAGCCGTGCGTCTCCATTGCGTTCGGTTCTCTGCTAGAGTCTTCACCTGGCTCCAAGTTTGCCCACACGTTTTCATCTCCTCTTCACATGACCTCTTCCAAGTCACCCTTGCATTGACGACCAATTCGTCGCTTCCTTTTCGGGTTCCACTCGAGCGATGGCTTGTCTAGTGATATCACTTGATGGTTTGTTGTCTCAGAGTATGGTCATTTCATCTCCATTTCTTCCTGCCTATTTGTTTCACAATTGGTTCCTGGTTGGTTCGCTCCCAGAGATCTCTGTTGCTGATCTGTAATATATAGTATATATAGTATAGTATCTATAGTATAGTATATAGTATGTTATCGTATTCGTTTTTTATTGTTGTTGTTTTTGATAAAGGTTCGTGATCCTAGTCGTAATTATGCAATGGTTGATTTACGACCGAGTCCAGCAAGTTCAACTCTTCCACCAACTGAATTAACATTGAGCCTGAATCATCAACATCATAATACCAATGAGCAGCATACAAGTCAATCATCCTCCTCTTCAATTGATGACAGTATATGCAGTAATAGTGGTGTCAGTTTAACACATAATAGTAATAGTAGTAATAACAATAATAGCACTAGTACTACTGGTAGTGATTGTACTAGTGATGCAGCCACTTTAACCTCGGATACTATTGAAAATTATTCAACAGTCTGTTGTAATCCACCGCATGAATCATCATCATTATCATACAGTAATAATAGTAATAATAATAGTAAGGCAATGAATACTAGCAAAGTAAAGTCTAAAAACTCTTCTATGGATACAGATTCATGTGATCATTTTCTGCTGAATACAATGAAATCACGTCGAAGGCATAGTCATAGTCTATCATCATCATTATCATCAACAGCGATGATGACAACAACAACAGATCCACCAATATTAAATTATGTTCACGTGATTGCTGCATCCAATACCCGCTTTACTTCAACTGAAACAGCACGATCATCTGATCCTGGTTCAGTATCTGATCGTCATCATATTGGTGGTGGTGGTGGTATAATCACTGAGCTTGGTAATTCACCAAGTTCTAGTAGTGGATTAGGCGGTGTCACATCACAATCGAATGCATCTTCATTAGCTGCACCAGCTTCGTCAACTTCATTCGGTGATATCTTTTCGTGTAGATCAATGACATCCTCGGGTACATCGTCTGTTGAAGGTAATAATAATATTCATATTAATAGTAACAATCCAGAGATGATGATGATGATGCCGACAGAATTGTCAAGTTGTTCCCCACCAGATGATAATTGTGTCATTTATACACAGATCGATTTTACACGGACAATGGCATTAGGTGAATTATCTAATGATATAATGGCACAAGAGAATCAAATTGCCAATAATACCAATATCAATAATAATAACAGTAATAATAGACTATCTTCATCAATGATTGCTTCACGTGGCAATACTACTACTACTACTACTGCTAATACGAGTAGTACTGGTACAACATCGTCTTCTTCATCACGAAATAAAATCGATCGTACTACTTCAGTTAAAAAGACTTTGTATCGATCGATCCGTTTGATTGGTGGTCGAGGATCACGTAAAAAAGTCGGCTAATGATGATTACTAATATTAATATTGTTATTATTATTACTACTACTAATATTATCATAAGTTTTCCCACCCTTACTGCATTTCATAAATTACTCTCTGACTGTGAATATAATTGTATATTTTACCACGTTTATTTAATTTTTATTTAATTTAATTGATTTATTTATTTGTTTTCATTTGATGAATAATGCTCAGTGATGCTTCACCATAATGCTATAATAATAATAATAACGATGATGATGACGATAGCTCACTGGCAACTTTTTCTTTCTGTGCAATTCGTGTTTTACACTCACACTCACCATCCCCCACCCCACCCTACCCCCTTCCTCCAATTTTCTTTCTTTTTATGAAACTTTAATGACTAGATAATAACTGAGGATGATGACGATGATGATTATTATTCAAAAAACGCGGATACCTCTTGATTTTTATTGTAATTTTGACATTTTGTTCTTCTTCCTTCCTTCGTTCCTTCCTTACTCTGGTTTGATTTTCCTTCGTGTGTACAGCTGGAGGAAAAAGTGTTTATAACACACCTACAAATGATTATAAACTACCAGTAACTACTACTCCTACTCCTACTGTTAGCCGCCTATAATAAGAAGAATTGAGTTACACTTCTCTCCCCGCCCCCTATTTCATTTACTTTATTCTTCTTGTATACAGTTTAATGTTGGATGTGTGTTTCCAAGGCGGTTTGGAGGGGGGTGGCGGCCGGCTCTGTTATATTGATAGCTAAATTCCTTATCTATGTACTTGTATGTGTGTGTGTGTGTGCGTGTATACATGTCAAAAAATCAAATCTTTCTTTCACATACACAGTTTATAATTTTTTGATTCTTTTGTTACTTATATGCGCATGTATGATGCCATCACAGAATCGATTTTCTTATTATTATTATTATTATTTATATTATTATTATATTATTTGTTTATTGTTTAAATAATGGCGCCATGTGTTGTTATGGTAGTAGTAGTAGTTGTTGTTGGAATGCTTCTAGCCCCTAACTTGAATGAATACCTTTCAAAATCCTATTTATTACATTCAGACCACACAGACACACACACACACACACTCCCCTCCCTCCTATGTATGCAATGTTAGTTGGAGAAGTTTTGAAGCCCTTTTCTCCGCCCCCCCCCCTGCTATATACATACATGTGGTGAAGATGTGTTTGTATGTGATATCCAATGCTTTTCACTCGCATCTTATTTTCTTTTCGCGTGTGTACGCGCATACTTTTGATTTGTAAATTATTTATTTCCTTATCTTACCAACCCCCCCCACACACACCCCATCACCTTTTTAACTGATCAATGAAAAAGTTCTTTAAAAGTTGTGTGCACACACTCGTCATTACTCCCATCACTTACTATCACTATCCAGCTGGGTATTTAAAAGAGTTGTGACGTCTTTTTTTCCACTCTTTTTTTTGTTTTTCTAAAAAATGTTTTTTACCTCAGATACAGACACATACAAAGATGGAGAGGGAGAGAGATATGCTTTTGATTATTTTTGACTTTCTTCTCTTCTTTGTTACTCTATTCTATATTTAAATAAAAAGACAAACATCCTCCTTTACATGGGGATTTTTTATTAACGAAAAGTGTACTTACTTCTTCTTATTGTTTACTGAAATTGTTTTTTTTTCTTGTTGTTATTGTTGGTGAAAAACAAAATCTGTTCTTCGTATGATTCATATCGTCTGTTGTCGTGGGGTGGGGTGTGTTGCGGAGTGCGCATGTCTCGCTACGCAATGTGGCAGGTAGAGGTGCATACGAGCACGGGAATCATATATTTGAAAATAATTTTTTAACCGACATATTGTTTTTTTTAACTCGCTTCTGTAATTCTTCTTCCTTTTTTTTGTCTGTGTTATAATCACCCTGGAAACTTCGCCTCCCCTGGCCCTTGGCTGTAGACCTCACCTCCATCCCACCTCCTGGTATCTCAAATGTTATGATGTAACTAACTATTTTACATCATGCGAGTGCTTTTTTTTAAAAAATTTCTTTTTTATGATTTCTACTTTATGGGGTTGATCGCAGTCGTCGGTGGTGGTCACTTCATTTCTTGATAATTCCTTCCGTTGTGGAGATAGGCGCGTAAATAGATTCCCTGTCTCTCCCTCTCCATTGACTTCACCGCGAATGTTTATATTTCCCTTATTGTCGGAATGAGAAACAATATACACAATAGTGTTAATGATATAGTCCTTTGTTATCCTAGACCTTATTTGATTTCCTCTTTTCTGTCGGCGCGTACGTACGTGCGTGCGTGTGTTTTTGAGAACACCAGATACATTTCCCTCCCTCCGTCGTATTCTTTTTACAAGGCTTTATTTAGATGCAGAGATGCCACTTGTATAAATCAATACACTTAACTAACAACTAAATTGTTGAACCCACTTATTCAGTTTCACTTGTAATTATTTTATTTCATTTGGTTCTCCTGTTATCTTTTTAATGTTTATTAATTATCAACCTTTGTTGTCTCCCCTATCACTTGCCCTTTTTCTTTCTTCGACTTTTTAAGATTTACAAAATTCTCTATATTTCTTGTGCCTGTATTCTCTCTCATTCACCATTTATCCTTTGTAATGTGTGTATTCACAACAGTTAGCTAACTAACTAACTGTTGAAGACGACTGTTTGTTCCGTTTGTTGACAGTGCTAGGCCATAATTCTTCTTCGTTTGTCCACCCCACTCCCACCCTCCTGTCCATTATTAGTAATGTATGCGGTGTTGTATAATAAGGATGAGTAAATTCTAATCTACCTCTTTCTCTTGTCCATCCTTTTGCCTATCTCTCTCTCTCCTATCCACCATATTCGTCATCGTTCTTTTCTTCCTTCCTTTATTCTATTGTCATCTATTTGTATTTGTCATTGCATTCTATTGTGTGTATAGTGATATCTCCAGCCTTCACAGAACACTTGATCTGATCTGATCTCATTTTATCATTTATGATTATCATTGTTGCTGTCTTGATTTTTATTTTGATAACTGATAATATAATAATGATATTAATAGTAATCTGAGCTCCTCTTGCTCCCCCCCTCGCCCCAACCAATATCCTTCGTTTAACCAACCCCTGCTGCTGGCGGTGATGGCAGGGCGATTAATAATGATAATAATTACTAGTACTCATATTTTAATACTAAGGATAAACGACTACCAATCCTCTATGTTCCGATCTGACTATGATGGACAAATACAGTATAATATAATATCACACATATGTGTATCTTTTTCCCGTCTTGGTTGTTATTTTAACAGTTTCACTTTGCTTTTATTTGTTTTCTTTTTAAAAAAAATTTTCCTCCCGTTGATTGATTATTTGATTGATTGACCCCCCTTTGTCCCCACCACCCCGTCCTGTGTACGTCGATCTCATTTTTATTTGTCTACTTTTCTCCTGTTCAAATTTTATTTTTATACTTAAATGATGAGCATATGTATTAATAATATATGTATGAATGGCTATGTGTATTATTACTTATTACTATTATTATTATTATTATGATTAATTATTATTACTTTTATTCATGTACATTTTATTTACTTATTTATTTTACCTATGTAGGTATGTATGTGTGTGTATGTAATATTGTGTATATTTCAGTTTGTGTGTGTGTGAGTGCGCGTATATGGGTACGCGCTCGCTCGCGTGCGTGCGTGCGTCCGTATGTGTATGTTCATCATTTTATTTTATTTTTATCATTTTTTTCTAAAGAAAACCTGCTTTGCGTTTAACTTTTAGAATACAATTTACCTACTTATACTTATATATATATATATACTTGATATAAAAATAAAATGAAAAAAAGTTGAAAATAATTCATACCATACAAAAAATAATGATATTTTGTTTTCTGTTTTAATGCTCATGTTTGTGTGTTTCAACGTGTCATTCATTCATTCAGTTTTTGGCGCCCAACAACGATGAATGCTGATGACACACACTGCATCAGTTAGAAGAAAAGTACATATTTGAATATTGGGGAAGAGGTTGCTATTCACAACAGACTGTGTTTGTGCTCATTCAGGCGGTAACCCTGAATTTCTTGGGTTTGACTCTCAGTAGTAGTAGTAGTAGTATTGAGTTGTGAGGTGCGCGCGTACTACTGGCGGCGAAACAGATGTGTCTAGTACTCCGTGATTTTCAGGGGAACATAAAGCTTCAAAGTAGAGCTTTGAAGTTTTTTTTACCGTATTTTTGGTACAAGTATGGGATTTTCAGCATGTGATATCGGTAGCCCAAATTTTTCAGACCGACCATTGATATCAGGTGTACTTCGGTAGGGGATCGAACCCCGGATCATGTGCGTGGTCGGCAAGAGTCCTAACCACTGTGCCACCGACGCACAGCGGTTTTATTTTTACGGGGAGTGGGGTCGCTGGCCTCACATCCCCCTCAACCTTCCCTCTTAATTGACTTAGTGAGGTTTAGGAGTGAGTGCGTCATCGGCCGGGAATCGAATCCTGGACCAACTGACACACTAGTGGTTCTCTAACTGATTTGATGTCAGTCAGTTTTTATCTATAAGGATGTTAGGCTTGTAGGAGGTTTAAAGCTTATATCCTTTCGATTTACTGTACAGTGAAGTTGTCCATAATAACAATATCTTTATTCAGATAAATACGTTTATACAAAATATAAAATTTTGGGCGAGTTTCAGTGTAAGGTATTTATTCCACAATGTTCTCCCATCTCCTTGGAAAAATTCCTCACTGTAGGTAGAGACTTATTCGAAATACTGCACGAGTATAGATTGTATCTCACTATGGTAATTAAATCATTAAAATAATATGATACGGAGTAAACACATACGATGCACGGTAATTGGTTTCATTGCCTTTTAAAATTCGATGCGAGAAATGAACTTCTAGACGTAGGGGATTCGATTGTAGCGAATTAAGTTGGAAAATTTAAGATCTAAATTATAATGTTCAATGCTGAAGGTTTAATACACGTGATTATTGTTCAGTCTCCAATATACGATTATTACTATTATTATTATTATTCCCTTGGGTTATGAATGGGACATAGAGAGTCGCCAGCATATTTCCTTTTTTTTTATCGTTCTCTGCGGTCCTTTCTAGATGACTGCATATTTTCCCCTTTCCCTCGAAAACTCGTCACTTTCCATTCTAGGTTGTGCCTGGCTGGTACACGATATCACTGATAGATCTCCTCAGCGTGTGTTCAGTCTGTCTCCATTCTCTTCGACATATTTTGTTGGACAGTAGGTCCTTTCCTGTTGCATTGATAGTCGGAATAAATCTAGCCGAATCAACGTTTCCACTTATGAAAGGTTTGGAAATCCCTCAATATATCCAGCTCCTCACTTTCTGCATCATTTTGAATATGCAGCGAATCAATTGTATTGGATAGGATTGCTCAGTCAATCTTCAGATTCGAGTCCTTCTTTCTAAAAGTTAAATGCAGAATCGACCTCAACGTATCTCTGTAGAGGCTGTGTGCAGTCCTGCTTCACTGTTTATTAAAACACGGGACCCATATAGCTCACTCATCATTTAATTATAGCCAATAAAAATAATCCTTAGGATTTCTTCAGTTTCTTTTCAACCATGCTGCTTAATTTATTGTAGAAGGAATGACAGTTAACACTATTCCTTGGAATAATTAAAATTAATATCAGTATAGATCTTCTCAGGGACCAATATCATTTAGAGAATCATGGAGCATCAGTACCTACTTACAACACCACTAGAGATCGATATCTATGTAGGAATGAATACACAAAAATCTGAATGACAATGTCTATAGTGACTATAAGATGAATGTGTAACGGTAGAAGACAAGAAATTTAACATCTCTATTTGGTGAAATTACGTACACCTTATCTCCAAGTCGTCATCTGCAAAGAATCTTCCGTGTTGTGTTACTTCTGTCTGTCCTTTTCACATCTCCCGTGTTCTTCCACAACCCTGAATCATTTGCTCTCTTTGACGTCCAGTCTATCTCTCTGCTATTTGATATTTTTATGCCGATGAACGTCGCTCTATATACTACTGATAAATCTTACCAGTAGTACATGCCACAGATTATCTTGAAGTTATAATGAGAAGTCATGGTTGATGGTCTCCAGTACATATCAGATACGAAGCGGATGCTTGTCGACACCACATTGGTTCCCCATAGCGGTATATCACATGAATTGGTAGGATCTGCGAATTCCAACCTAGTGAATCTATGGTCAACTGACTGAAGTCATGGGTGTGTAATGCTGAAGAGCTCTATATATGTAGAATGATGTTGAATAGTGACAGAATCTGCATTGAGATCAATAAATGACCCTAGAAGACGCAAAATTTAAAACTAATGTTGTGGCCTCTTATGAAAGTTATGGAAATAGTGAATTTGAGAACAAGAGATTATATAGTGTGGGAAAGAGATATAAGTGACAGTATTTTGCTGATACGCTTTCAACCAACATACAAAATTCTGAAGGGGTGTGTACACAGGAGCGACAGGTGCTGGCTGAGTTTTAAGTCTCTGTAGGAAAACTGTCACTCACTGAGAATGAAGGTTACTCACATCAGTTGGCTGCCACCAAGTTATTACAGTTTTTTTTTTATTTCTAAGTTTAAAATCTTAATACACAGGAAGATTGTTCAGTCATTTAGATTTGCATAAACTTGTATAAATAAACATTCCACCTGTTACTTGATAACATTTTGCGTCATCTCTTCCTTGTGACGTCACTTTTTGTTTCTCTACAATGCTATTAGTTTTCCATTATTGAATAACATCCAACTCTTACCAACTTCATTTGTGTTACGTCACTCAACTTATTTATTTATTTCGTCTAATTTTCGGTTTACAGAAGTTAAGCTGTTTTCATTTTGTTTTTAAATGGGAATGAGTTAGAAAATCAATAAAAACGAAGAACAACCACCTGATATCTGTCTGCTTTCTTTCTATCCAACAACTTGTAATGACTATTTCTGTTATTATTGATCAGCGTTAGACAGCAAGAGTAGATCGATGGAGGAATCCTTGCATCTGCACATTATTGTATTTAATTTCAGTCCCCACCTATTAACTTTGACACTTAATGACATAGACTTTAATCTCAGATATCACAGTAGGAGTCTTCTCGTCCCTTCTGATCATCTTTCTGCTGACTACTTTCCCTTAACATCTGAGGTCGACAGTTCTCTCTTCAAGAAGAGAAGACCTCGACCAAACGATGACGTCAATGGCTTTGGGCTAACCAGTCAGATTAAACCAATGAGACTATTGATTGATTTCGGAATATTAATCAGGATGTCTTTCTCGAGAGAATAACTTCCGTTTTCGTATAGAATTGTGTTGGTTCTCATCTAAATGACATTCTCATTGTTCAACGCTTGGATGTAGAGTTAAGCTTAGATTAGGGCAAGGGTTAGGTTGTTGGATTGTAGTTTATTTATCATTACTGCCTTAGTTCCGAGTGGAACATAGGGCTACAACAATACATCTACATTTTTCCCTATTTTTTGTCGTTCTCTTCACCTGGGTCCACGATTGTCCATAATTTCGAATCTCTTCGTGCTATCTCCTCCAAGTTAACCTCTCACCGACGACCCACTCGTCGCTTCCCAATAGGATTCCACTCGAGCGATGGCCTCTTCAACGTATGCCCGATCCACCTCCATTTCTCCTACATATTTGTTGAGCAATCGGCTCATGGTTGGTTTGTTGTCAGCTGGAGTTTCTTGTTATTAATTCTTCCTGGCCGATTTTTGTTCTCCGGTAGCTTAGCTGGTTAGAGCACCGTACTTATGAAGTTAAGATTACGAATTATTTATTTGAAAGTTGTTGATGGAAAAATTCTTCTACCTAAATCCTGACTAGTGCTTAAACTGGACTTCTTTGTTTTCACTGAAATTTTGCTCTTTGATGAATGCATTTGGATGAGATTCAAGGATATTAGTGCATCTATCTGATTGGAGCTTTATAATTCAACTTCAAGATATCGTATCAGTTAGGGAGGGGGGGTAAATTGCCAACAACACAAAAGTGTTATTATTATTATTACTATTATATCTTTGGGTTCCAACTGCAATACAGAGCTTTAACAGCACACCTCCATTTCATCGTGATTTCTGAAGCCCTTTCTAGATGCTTGTATATTTGCCTAGAAGCTCTCCTCCTCCACGTCACCCTCTCGCCCCTCCCCCAACTCATCGTTTCCCAGCTGGATCCTTACTCGAAGTTGTTCCTGGCGCGAGTAAGACTTCACTCAACCGTCTGTCTCCTCAGTGTATTTCCTATCCATCTCTAATTCCTTCTGTTATATATCTGAGGCCGTAAGTTCTTGGTCACCCTTCTGATCTTCAGTATGAAGTAAAGACAGCTGTTAATGAAAGTTTGTAGTGGCCTGTTGCAAATGGTTTTCTTAGACGCACCAAGTCTTTCAGCCACATAGAAGCTCTTCCTTGACATTATTTATTGAAAATTCGAATCTTGTTCCATATGCTGATTGCAACAGATTTACACACTGATTTTTGTAGTGATAAACGCCTGTCTTACCTTTTCGATTTTGACTTCAGTGATTAACTGATATCGATCCATGATCAACCTTGAAGTCTTGATCTGTTAGTAGCGCTGGTGTTCCTACCCTCAGCCCCTTAAATCTTCCCTCTTTCCCAGGCTTACTTATAGCCCAGTAAACTAGGTGATGTTTAGGGCTGCGTCTGGTGAGAATCAAACCCAGACATTCTGCATGGTTAGCAAGCATTCTACTTATTACTGAACCAGCAAACACAATCAGTAAGAGGGTGGCAACCATTAATGTTACGTTATTGGCTACATGAAGAAGTGAGAGAAAAGAACTACTTTTCTCTGATATCAAGTTTGATCAAGAACTGACTTCACTTGGAAAACTATTGAGAACCTGTCTGGAATACTTGACAGCTGTTTCGTCTTAATCCGGTACTCTTCAGTAGTGTGCACTCACACAAGGGATTGAACCAAAGACCTTCAGTTTACAAGGCCGAGCTTATTGTGACCATTCAGCCACTGGAATGGAATC